TTCTTAATGCAGTACCAGCAGCATTAGCAATAAAAAAAAAATTTAGAATACAGAAAAAAAAATCCCATTTTTTATTTCCACTTTTTTGCCAACATTTTTTATTGTCTTTCTAGTAAGTTATTTACCCATTATCAAAATACGCTTAATAGACGAGTTTATATAAACCGTTTTGATTGACCTCCTCATTCATTTATGTACAATTATTTTTTCTATCATGTAACGTTTCCAGTAATATTTTAGAGACGACCACGATTATGACAGCAGTGGTGGTAATAATGGTGATGACAAAGACGATGGCAATAATAATGGCTATCTAACCGATGTGTATGCATGTAAAAACGTATTTACATATAAAAGTACCTCAACTGTATCAGCTATAATAACAGTATTAGTGGCTTTGTGCTAATGTACGTCATCTATTCGACAAACTAAAAGCTATATATGTGCTCCAGAATAAAAATTTATTTCTACAGTCCCATCCAACAATTTATTATCAAAAAACGTTGTTTTTCCTCTGTCAAAAGTACAGGCCGTAGATTTATCGCATTAACAACTAACGTTTGGATTTAGGTTATTTTGCTTGTCTTTCTTTTTTTTGCTTTTAAATCGCTAGAAATTAATCATGTATATGCAATCCTGTGAGTCTCCCGAAAACAACTGCTGCTGTCGGTGCTGTTGCTTAAGGATAATGACTGCAACACAGACACGACGATAACAATAACCTCATTTTTTTAAAGTATTGATATTATTATTTACACTATTATTTTTAAAGTTTAAAAAAACTTTCTTCTTGACAGAAAACGAGCAAAAAAAATAGAGGAAAAAAAAATCGGAAAAATCAATTTTGAACGATAAACGGTACTGAAGGAACAAAAAAATAATGCTACTTATAAAAAACTAAATAGGAAAACCCACAAGTAGGTTTTTTGTTATGCTTTTGCCTATGTATGCACGTTGTTACTACTTACGTCGAATAAAAAACCAAAAAACAACAACGCATATGTTAAATTACAGTAAACAAAAATTGCAAGACTTGAAAAAAAAAAACAGATCAGAAATATAATATTGATAGATGGATACTTTATTTCTCCAAAACTAAGCCTTAGTGCAAATAATGTGTGAAGAAATTTGCAAAGAAATGCCCGAAATTTTGCAGTTTTAATTTGGTTGCTATTGAAAGTTGCCTAATCATTCAAGTGCGAAAAGAAACTTGATCCAGACAAAAGAGTGATAAAGTATCTGTATTCTATCCTATGCCGCCAAATATGAATGGATACCATAATGCTCGTTAGTTTTGCGCCACAAATACATCACTTTTTGCAGTTCAGATCAGATTTGTTGTTCTCTTCTGATCACATTCAAACAAATTTTTGGTACCGGAAACTCTACACTGTTGTACAGGTCCCAAAATCAATTCTCACATTATATTGTTACTCACAAACTGTACCTATAATTTTGAAAAATTTCTTCTCATACGTCTTCCTTGTGTGACTTCTTACACCTTAACAAACCAATTTCTTCAATCACACGTCGTTAAAACAGATAACCACAACAATACCATTGTTGGTAAACAAATAAGACACTTTTTTCCAACAAATTTCGTTCTGCTGTAAATACACAGTCACCGACAAAGATCTGCAACTCCACCAGCTATGGTGCTACTGTCTTTGGCATACGGGGAAAATAGGCCAAGAAGGCAAAGTATGCTCATCGCTGACGATACTCAGGATATCCAACGTACACCTTTCTCAATCTATAGTCGAAAGAAAAGACCTGTGATTCTAATAAGCCAAGATGAGTTTACAGAATACTTGCAAGCTCGCCGTAGTATTTTACCTTCACATAAAGTCAGATAATTAACAATTTTATCCTACCGGAAAAGTTTCAAAAAACTTTGCAATGCAACACTAATTTTCGAATGCACTAACACTTTGACGTCACTGTTGAGAAAAAAGCAGTTCTCTTTGCAGTAGCGCCCAGTCCCCTGTCAACTTTTCCTTCCCCCTCCCTTAAGCAAAAGGAACATTAAAGATACCCTTTGCTTTCGTCTACTTTTGACGGCTATCCACAAAAATAAAAACCCTGCAAAAAATCTAATCCCGATAACACTTACTTTTCACAAACGTTACTGTCAAAAAATACTACCATATTCTTAACTTCGCTATATCCGCCACAAGAGCAATAGTTCAGTCTGCAGGTCCTGTTATTATATGGCAGCAAAAATTGTTCAACTGGGTAATTACAGACATTTCTGAAAAGTTAATAAACTACTCCTGTTCCAGAAAATTTTAAATACCGGAACAATTATGCCCTCAGTCTCCGCAAGCGCCTCATGAAAAACGTCAAACCTCTGCCTAATCAAATTTACTATCGGTATCCTGTTACCAACCAGTAACCGTCAATCAGCAGCTAATATTCAAGCTAAGAACAAGACATTGCCATTTTCAAATCTGTTCTTCTCTGTTAGATTTTCCTTCCATTAAAACAACTGTTTTAGTTTTTCTCATTCACTTTGTGCATCTTGCATTTCAAAAAAAGTTAGTAATGCTAAAGATTTAGCAACTCTTTCCAGCCAGTAAACAACTGCAACACAAAAAAATAAAGCGCATATCAGCTCACATCAATTTCTTGAGTACCATATCCGCTTTTTAGCAAAAAAAAAAAAAAA